TAATCTGCAGGAGAAAAATATGTAGACTGATCAGAGGAATGAAATAAAATGTAAGAGGAAGGAAGGAATTAGAACAGTTAATTGGAGGCTTTGGTCAAATCTATTCTTCCTTGCTCTCCTGTTCTCCACTGTTAACTTTAACTGCACCCCACCACAAAGTTTGGCTCAGTATGTGTGAATTTATAGGAGCTCTCTTCTTTATTTTCCATATACAGATGTACATATACACATTTTCACAGGAAAGGGGGTAATCTGGACTTACAAATGTTGTTAAAATTAATGGAAGCCCTGCTTCTATATCCCTTTAATTGTCTTGAGAATCTCCAGGTTGGGGTCAGCTCCTTGTTTCATATCATTTTTATACTGACCATTCACCCAAGTGAGTGACGGCAGACTTATACTAGCATAAGAATTACAGAATTCGACCCTCTGGTTTTCTGCATGCGCCCTGCTGTGTCGACAATTAGTCTTATTAAAATCAAGAGAGATGAGATAAGAGCAGTAAGCGAGGCTAACACAGCCAAGCCGTGTATGGATGGATGATCCACTCTCTGCTCTTAAATCACTGCATGATTCCTTCAGTTACTCAAAAGCCAAAACCAGAAACTAATCTATCTATGGCCAAAGTATTTCTGTTCCTAAAAAAGCCAGACAGTGAGCTCCATATGTAGATTTGGGGCACTTTTTTGCTGTTATTATTTTAAGGTGATGTCTTTTGAGTAGCTGTCATTTCTTATTGCTGTCAGAGCAGACTAGAAGTTCAGACTGTTGCTGCTGGCACTGTGCCTGTTGCAGAAATAGTTTATTTGTATGGGTTTCTGATTCTTCATATGCAGGAGACCTAATGCATTTTATTCATTCTTCTTATGGCTGAAGGTGGCCAGTTCTCATTTTCCTTTTATAGTCTGCATGTAGTTAACAGCTACCAACTGCTCTTGTGGAATGAGGATGAGGGTTTGTAGTAATTCTCTCCTCTATTACCACAAGCAGCTCTCTGGTTCTGTGCCAGCTTCTTCAGTGCTACCCACTGTGATCCTACCGCTTGTGTTTCAGCTCCTTCAGTCTCCCCTTTGCTATCTAATTCCATGCACTTGCTTCCTGGCAAGATCTCACAACAACACGATAGCGCAAAGTAAAGTTAATGTCCTCCATACAAGAATTTTTTAAGGGTTGAAACGAGCTCTCCTATCTTGGTAGGCAGGTATTTAAAAGGGGGAATCTTGGCCACTTGCTCTTGGATTGGCCGTTCTGGGGAAAGTAGCTTCACTTCTCTGTTCGTTGTTATGCGTTTTACAATCTTGTATGTAAAGTGTTTTATTCCTGTTCTTGAGGGAATAGCTGAAGAACCGTTGATTACACACAGGCTACATAGCAGTTGGTCGAAAATTAAAGGTCAAAATTTTGAAAATGTTTAGGAAGCTGAATAAGTAACATACTTCTTTCATAATTAAACCAGTAGCTGAGCTGTTGGAGCACAGAATTTATGTAATTTGGGCCATTTATTCCTGTTCCTAAATATGACCTTTCAAGCTAATTTTAGGTACTTCTTAAAAAAAAAATCTTGGCCAGCCATGAGCAAAGTAATCAACAGAGAAGTAGACCACCCTGAAATAGTTCAGCTTTTCCTGGCAATTTATACCATTCCCCCCTGGATCTCTCCTTTGAGTGGAATATCCTGTTGCATTTATTGTGGTTTCACCACAAATATGGTAGAAAAGTCCCCTCTAAATTTTCTCATGAGGAAGGATTCAGCTATGAATGAGGAAATAAGGTGTTATAGATGGCATAAAACTTGTTTATAACCTTATGCTTGAAAGTAAATGTCTTCCATCCTCTTTGAACCCTACTTCTTGGATTCTTTATTTTGCAGAAATTAGCTAGGCATAGCTATGTTGATTCAGACTGATAATGAATCAATAACATATTTTGGCTGTGCATAGCAAAGCGGGAAGGCAGTGTATGTTGGTTGCAGTGGAAAGAAAAATACACTTTCATAGGATGTTTAGACTTCTGTGTTACAGTTGGGAGCTGGTCACCTTTCATGGAAGACAGAGGAACACTGAATTTACTTAGCAAACTTGCAGGATGTTTTTTAGTACACATATGTGTCAAGCTGTAGAGCAGAGGGGCACTCTGGCCTGGGTGAGGATTTTAAATGCAGTTTGCCCTGACCTACCTGTGGGCTCAGGCATGACATGTGGGGAACGTGTATTTGTTGCCAAGACCTCGCTTTCAGAGGAGGTCTCTCAGAGGGCAGCCGCAATCCACTGCCCCGGTTCCAGTTGTGGAGGTGGCGGATGCTGCTCTGCCAGCTCCGGTGCTGTTGGGCCAGGTTTT